TACTGGAAGGACCGTTTTACTGAAAAGGACAAAAAAAAAAAAAAAAAAAACCGGACCTGCTCATTGCCCTGGAAGAGGGGTGGAAACATGATGCTACTTGTTTATTGACATTTGTTCCTCATTTGTTCAACTGTCGTGATATTCATTGGTTAGAGTTGGGGTTAATATTAAAGCTTTTGAAGTTAAAGTCTTTTCACTTTTCTGCCAGTAAATCAGTGTTGTCTGTGTTGCTGTGAGTGTTTTCCTTTTAGTAAAAGTTGAAATTAAACAACTGGGAAGCTTTATTGTATTTTTCTATTTTTTCCACCTACATCCCTCAGTTTCTCCGCATATAAACTTAAAACTGATTTGACCAATTAAAAAGGGAAAAAGGTAGATCGTTTTTTGTGAACTTTTCCTTGTAGTTTTATTTTGTTCTTTTCTTTTGCTCAAACACAAACACTAACGGCCAGAGGACCAAACTCATAAAACTGAACTACGAATGGCAATAAATTCAGAAGTACAGAGAAAAATCTACTTACTGCGAACAGCACATTGAAGAAGATAAAGAGGCATTTGAGGCATGTGTTAATCTTTCCCATCTTCAGGTTTTAGTGATTGGCTTTGCGGAGATGAAGAGAAGCAGTGTGCATGTAACAGTGTGTGTGATGAACTGTAGTGACGTGCGCCGTGATAAATGATATGCAAAGTGAATGGCACGGAAGCTGAACACAGAGCTGCAGCCAAACACTGGAATCTACCTAAGCGCACACAAGCTGCAGCTTGGTGTGCTTCACACAGTTACAAAAGCACAACTTTACACCCATTAAGGATTGTAAACCTACAGGTTTTTGTCTTTTCTTGATCTGAAATGTTTTAGGATTCGGCTCAGCACTTGAAGACTTATTAAATTTATTTTATATCATTTTAAATGTTTATTGTTCAGAAAGCTTCAGTTCTTCTTCTCACAGGTACTCAAAAGCATGTTACTGTCAGGTTTGCCTGGCTGCACCTGCCTTTCCCACGCTTTCTCTTCCATGTATTGATTACTGTGGTCTCAGTGCCATAACTTTCAAAAACAAATATCCATTACCTCTCCTCTCCTCTGCTTTTGAGTCTCTCCAGGGCACGGCAGTCTTCACCAAGCTGGACCTCAGGAGTGCCTACCACCTCGTACGCATCCATGAGGGCGATGAGTGGAAGACTGCCTTCAAGACCCCGCTGGGGCACTTTGAATATCTGGTAATGCCTTTTGGCCTCACCAATGCCCCGGCGGTTTTCCGGGGTTGATCAATGACATCCTCCGTGATTTCCTAGGTCGTTTTGTTTTTGTTTACCTCGATGACATTCTCATTTACTCTTCTTCCCTCACAGAGCACATCCAGCACGTTCGCCAAGTCCTTCTTTGACTCCTGGAAAACTGCCTGTACGTGAAAGTGGAGAAGTGCGTCTTCCACTCCCCCTCCGTTCATCATAGAACAGGGAAGACTGCGCCGATCCATCCAAAATATCTGCTGTCACCAGTTGGCCCACTCCCACCTGTTTCAAGGACCTGCAATGCTTCCTGGGCTTTGCAAACTTCTACCACCGCTTTATTAAAAATTATAGCACTATAGCAGCCCCCCTCACTCAGCTCACATCCACCAAGGTGAAGTTTGCATGATCCAGGATAGCGGATTGCGTTGGTTGGCATATGGTTAATATTAGGTCATCTGCAAATAATGCCAATTTTTGTTCTACCCCCTCCATATTCACCCCCGTAATATCTTGCCTCTGCCTATTCCATTGGCCTAGTGGCTCGATAAATAAGGCAAAGAGGAGTGGCAATAAATTGCATCCCTGACAGTTGCCTAATGTAAATGACTGTGAGGTATCCATTTATTTTGATTCTAGCTATTGGTTTTTGATATAGTCCCGAAATTACATCAATTATAGATTTATGCAGTCCAAATTTGTCAAGCACTTTGTATAGGAATGTCCACCTCACCGAGTCAAAGGCTTTTTCGGCATCTAGACTTATCACTAGAGTTTCCAGCTTTTGTTGGGCAGCTTCCTGTATTATGTGTAGTACCCTCCTGACATTGTCCTGCGTCCGTCTGTGTTTGATGAAACTGGTCTGGTCCTTATGAATTAAATGTGGGAGAAATGTTTCCAGTCTTTTTGATTTTTTTCAACCTAGAGACTTGCATTGCACTTCTCACATTTATCATGGTGCTGACGAGCACTATGAACAGACATAGCTTAGAGTAAAACAAAACAAACAAAAAAAAAACTGTGCACATTTGCTATGTACTGGAGTGATTACCTTTACTTTCTCACTGCCAGTCTCACAGCTTCACAGTTACAGCTATATGAAATTTCTCTAGCCAAGGACAATAATGATGAATGTAAAGATATGGGTCCCTTGAAAGATGCATGCAAACAAATGATTGGCAGATAACTCAAGATCTATCTGTTTTGTTTTGTTTTTTTACACTGCAGTGTTTTCAAAGAAGCTTCTCTTTAGTCGTACTCTCAATAAGATCTGTTCAGTTGGTACCTGGAAATACAATGTGAGCTCAGCACTTTTTATCTGACTCACAGGCTCCAGCCACCCTAGCCTTGCAGGAAGTCCCTAAGACACTGTAGGCTACACACATTGATACTGGCCTCATCAAAGATATTGCATTGGTTGTAATTACTCCCAAATCTGATTACAGGCCATGTAAACAACTATACTTTCTCAAAAATGAAAAGTAGCTATTGATGACATCATTCCAATGTTTGAATCTCTTAAAGAGGCAGGAATAATTGTACCCTGTGAGAACTCCCCTGTGTGCACTCCCTTGCTCCCTGTAAATAAAAAAAGTAAGAGATGAAGGTTAACCTATAGAATGAAGATTTGTGCAGGACTTGCAAGCAGTAAATGCTGCAGTCAAGCCTTGAGCCACTTGTTTTGCTAAAAGGCACAGCTTTATTGCAATGTTATATTCTTGAAGAACCTGGCTGAACATAAAGTTTGTCTCTTTAAACTGCAGTTTGTACAAATTATCCATGGACCTAGTGGCTCGATAAATAAGGCGAAGAGGAGTGGCGATAAATTGCATCCCTGACGGTTTCCTCTCTCTAATGTAAATGACTCGGTGAGGTCTCCGTTTATTTTGATTCTAGCTATTGGTTTTTGATATAGTCCCGAAATTACATCAATTATAGATTTATGCAGTCAAAATTGTCAAGCACTTTGTATAGGAATGTCCACCTCACAGAATCAAAGGCTTTTTCGGCATCTAGACTTGTCACTAGAGTTTACAGCTTTTGTTGGGCAGCTTGCCGTATTATGTGTAGTACCCTCCTGACATTGTCCTGCATCTGTCTGTGTTTGATGAAACCAGTCTGGTCCTTAGGAATTAAATGTGGGAGAATTGTTTCCAGTCGTTTTGATAAAATTGAGGTAAACAGTTTATAGTTTACGTTCAGAACACTGGACGATAACTGCTACAGTCTAGTCTGTTCTTTCCTTCCTTAGGAATAATCGAGATTCCTGCTTCATGGAGCGAAGCAATAATCGTTTTCTTTTCCATCACCCACTTAAACGTTTTAATTAATATAGGAACTATATTATATTTTGGACCATTCTGGACCAAATCCATCTGCTCCTGCCATTTTCCCAGTTTTGAGCCTCTTAATAGCCAAGTTGATTTCTTCTTTTGTTATTGCAGCAATTAATTTGTTTTGTTCATCTGTCATTAACGGTACTTGTAGTTGGGTAAGGAAGTTGTCAATTTCCTTCTCATTATCTATATGAGGCTGTGAGTATAGGTTTCTGTAATAAGTTAGAAAACATTGTTGAATTTTTCCCTGTTCCCTTTTTATGTTGTTCCCTTTCTATGTTGTTGTTTAGAGGATTCCTTATCTGGTGTATAGTTTTCTCAGCTTGTTGTTTTCTGAGTTTATATGATAGAAGTTTAAGTGATCTTCCCCCCACCTCATAATATTGGTGTTTGGTGAAGACCATCTTTTTCTGTACTGCCATATTGTTTATTTCGTCTATTTCCTTCTTAAGTTTTGTCATTTCTAATTTAGTCTCATCTTTCAAATTGAGAGTGTTTTCGTTGAAGTTGTAGCACTTTGTCTTCTAAACTTATAAGTTTTAATTGGTTTGCTTTTTTCTGGTGGCCTGATATACTAATTAATTTCCCTCTAACCACAGTCTTTAGTGCATCCCAGAGTATCCCAGGGGACACCTCCTCATTGTTGTTATGTTCTAAATACTCCTTTATCTCTTCTATTAAGCTCTCTTTAATTTTTGGGTGGTTTAACAAATTGTTATTTAAGCGCCATAAGGTGTGTCTGTCCTTTTTTGAGACTAATATCTATGTATACTGGATTATGATCAGAGATGGTACTGGGCCCTATTTCACAACTTCTTATTCTGAATAGGTCATTTTTGAATGCTAAAATATAGTCCAGTCGGGAGTAGACATTATGGGCGTGAGAGTAGTGGGTGTATTCCCTCCTAGTTATGTTATTGTCCCTCTATATGTCCACTACCCCTAGTTCGTCCATAAGGTGTACAATCTTCTTTCCGATTTTTCTAGTATCGCCTTTACCATTTGAGGAGTCCAAGTTAGCATTAAGTGTAACATTAAAATCCCCCCCCACATAGTAAGGTACCTTGACTCTTTGTTGTTATTATTTCAAAAATTTGCTTATACAGGGACCAGTCGCTGCCAGGAGGGGCATACACATTCAGCAGGGTTGTAAGCGTACCTTCCACTCTACTGGTTATCATAACATATCTGCCTTCCTTATCTTTGTGTTCCAATATGTGTTCATAGTTTAGTGCCCTGGATATCCAAATCGCCACCCCCCTCTGTTGCCCAGAATTGTGGGAGGAGTAAAAGACATGTTTAAAGCCCAGCTTGTTTAATTTTGTATGTTCCTCATCTGAGAGATGAGTTTCTTGCATTAACGCAATTTGGACTTTATCTCTTTTGAGTTTAGATAGGGCTTTCCACCTTTTAACTGGATTGAGTAGGCCATTAATATTAATCGTTACCAGTTTTACAGATCTGCTATACATTTATGTTACTGTCCTCTTAGCTACTTTGTATAAATGAATTGGTTCCTTGCTCCTCTTCAACAGCAAACACAGAACATAATCAACACTTAACATTTGATAACAGTAATAGAACTGAAGTAAAGTCAACTTCCAAGGTAGGGGTCGGTGAAGACGACCCTGTTGCGCCTCTAAAGGCAGCTTCCTCATCTGTCCAGAAAAGGGGGCCCTTATTGGCTGTAGCGTCGCTGTAGGGCAATGCATCCCGAAGAACCATGTAGTATTTCTTTTCAACACCAGTATAGCATTTGTAGTTATGTAAGTATTTTCACTTATTTTTGACATAAGTAAAATAAAGAGAAAGGAAAAACGGAACAGAGGGGTCATTTGCCACCATCTCAAAAAAATATGTAAACAAAACCTCATTTTTCTGCAGGCGTCTCAGTCCTCCTGAAGGCTCTCAATTTTTCTTTGCAGCTGGGGTCTGATCCTGGGTTCTGCTGCCTCCTGGACCCTTTGGCCGCTTTATTCCAGGTCAGCCGCTTCAGCTGTTCAAGGATTGTGTCGGGCAGTTTGATGATCTTCACCATGTAGCCTCTCCTAGTCATATCTTTGGTCGCTTCCTCCACCATGTTGTATA